ATCATATGAGCCTGGGTAAAGGCATTGGCATCCTGCTGGCATTCCCGGCGGTTTATCTGAGTACGCGTACCGGAGACAATGCGGGTAAAAAGCAATCCATTCTCTTGCCGACGCTCTTATTCCTCGGCTCCGGTCTGTTGGATACGCTCGTCAACTATATCGCCCGTCAGTACTTCAATACCGGGAATGATAGCCTAGATAATGCCGGGCAGTCCGTTTATCTGATCCATACTTTTTCTGTAGCAGGAACGGCCGGACTGTTGGTGGTTATCGTCTTATTATTATTGCGAAAGCGCACCTTTGCCTGGAAAAATGTACTGGCAGGTTGCCTGTTGGGCGTGCCCAATTATTTTTCGATCTACTTCTTTTTCCGTTTTCTTCAAAGTGATTTTTTACAAAGCTCGGCAGCCATACCGGTGAATAATATTGGTATCGTGTTGTTGTCGGCTATAATAGCCATTTTATTTTTTAAAGAGAAAGCAAGCCCGGTGAGGATCCTTGGCTTGCTGTTATCTGTCACCGCCATTTTGCTAATTGCTTTTTTTGATGCCAGCACCTCATAAATACAAAACGATTGCCGAAAAAGGCACCGCTGATTTCCGCGACCGGGGCAGTAAATTCCTGGCCTATGCCTACCCCATCCGTTCGGCGGATGAGGTGAAGGAAAAAGTGCAGGCCTTAAAGAAAGAGCATCCTAAAGCTGTTCATTTCTGCCTGGCCTGGCGCATCGGGATTGATGGCTCGCTGTACCGCGCCAGTGATGATGGAGAGCCGGCCGGAAGTGCGGGCCGGCCAATACTCGGGCAGATAGACAGCCTGGGCCTGACCAATACATTGGTTGTAGTGGTGCGTTATTTTGGCGGTACATTACTGGGCGTGCCCGGCCTGATCAATGCTTATAAAACGGTAACCACGGCTGCACTGGAAGGATTGCCAACAACGGAAAGATGGGTAGAGCGGGACGTGGAAGTTGCCTTTGATTATTCGGTGATGGGAGAAGTGCTTTACCAATTGAAGCAGCATGAAGCCACGATCCATAAGCAGGATCTCCAATTGTTCTGCACCATTTATGCAGGCATCCCCATACATCTGGCCGACCCATGTATCGAAAAGCTTTCCGAAATTCGTGGCGTTACCTGTAAATAAGCCCTTGAAGCAGTAGCACTCCAGCCATTTTGAACAGCAGCCAACATACCATGCTTATTAAGTCCGAGGCCCATCGCCTGGGCTTTGATGCCTGCGGTATTGCGAAAGCAGTGGCGCTGGATGATGATGCCCGCCGCCTGGAAAGCTGGCTGAACAAGGGATTCGGGGCTACGATGCATTGGATGGAGAAACATTTTGACCTGCGCATTGATCCCCGGAAACTGGTGCCGGGCGCTAAGTCGGTCATTACCCTATTACTCAATTATTATCCGGAAGAGCAGCAACAACCGGCGGCTCCTAAGATTGCGAAGTATGCCTGGGGCATGGACTATCATGATGTGATACGGGCCAGGTTGAATGAGCTGCTGGCGTTTATAAAAGCAAATA